GACCTTCGCCATGGGAAACGCTATTATGCTATCCAGTCCGTTAACTACAAATGTGCGGTAATAACTCTTACTTAAAATAATGGAGGCACTTTCTCAGTTTACTATAATTTAAGCTATAATTTCAAATATCGTGTTCTAAAGCAATCGTTCAGACATGTGTTTCCTTATTTTTTAAACATACATTTGCTGCTTAGAAAAAGTTAAGACTTAAAGTTAAGCCTTTTTTTCTACATGATCAAAATTACTCTGACTTCACACTATTTTTAGTGAAAGAATTTTTCGAAGATTATAGTTCTCACTGTTGCATACTTATTCAGTATAATCAATTCAGTATTATAAAAATTCCTATGACGACACACTGTTTCCATTAAAGTAATTTTTCAAATGATGCAATTATTGCATATTTATTTCAATGTAGGCAATATAAGGGAATTGTGTACCCAAATACTTTTTCTCGTAACATTTTGTATGACTTTTTTGAAGTATGCTACATAAGTTAATTGGTTTCATAACAGAACACTCTATACACGTGTGTTGAATGAATTGCTGTAGAGACTGGATAAATGTTTGCAAACACAGACTTGCAACCACAGCAGTTTAACGATACAGCAGATACTCTATAGTGTTTCTGAATTATAAGCAGAAACTGAACTGGCTAATAAAACTCGCTAGAAAGAAAGAATGGTCTTAGTAAACATACATGGATAAATTATTAATCGTATCTCAATCACTTTTTCTGTTAATGATATAGGACATAGAACAATACTGAGAAATATTGTCAGAAAAAAACAGAAAACTGTTAATGTTTGAACCTGTATCGAACAGTTTAAAAAGAACATAGAATTTCTGTTAATTCTCTTCAGTGAATGTTTAAATCAGATACATATATTTTGTACTGTTAAAGAGGCAGTAATTTATAGCTTCTTGTAAGGGAACGTTTTACAGCATTTCAAATATTGCAATTCTTAATAATTATTAAAGTACACAAACCTTGATATAGAAACAGTGAGCGATAAAAGTATTTAACGTCAGTGTATCTTCATACATGTCTACATTGTTGTTATGATACAATACACTTACATCTTCATTTCTTTCTCATTTCGTATATATTTATAATTTTTATCCATTCAGAGTAATATTTGTGTAATTTTTGTATATACAGTGAAACTTTGACTATCTGATCAAATATGCAATTTTAAGAAATTAAATTAAACTATGATACACAATATTAAAAATTACGCCATTTAATTATCAAGTAAATTTCATGTGACAAAGATAGATGACAAAGATAGATAAGATTTACTACAAATTTCAACTGACATGACTACTACAACCCAGGAAAATCAGTTTCTTGATCATTTTCTGTAATAGTGAATTCGTCCTTGAAGAAATATGTCCATGTTACAAAAGCTTTCTGTAGAGAAAAAAATTGTATAAAAGCTAGTCTGGAATTAAATTTATCAGAAATTCTTACTGAAACGACCACTATAACTCGGAAAATTCGTTGTTTCTTTATTTTTAATGTTGAATTCATTTTTAAAGGAATATCTATATATTACAAATCACTTTAAAACTATTAACTCATTGACTGTAAAATTATAGTTAAGAAAGTTTTGACTAGAACGACTATAACACGAGAAAGTCAGTTTTTTATTCCCTTACCATCCCTAAAATATTGACATACTATAAAAAAAGCTTTTGTGAAGAACAAAATGTATGAAATCATTTGCTGTAAATCAATTTCACGTTAGATTTATTAGAATTTTCACTATGAGGACTATAACTTGAGAAAAACCAATTTCCTGTTCTTTGTTCATTGTATGAGCGTTGAATTCGTCCCCAAAGGAATGTCTACATATTACAAAACACCTTTTATAAAGAACGAAATCTATGAAATGACTCGACTGTAAACCGGTCCCGATTCTAATCCTATTCGTGACAGGATTACAGGTAGTTGGTGTAGGTAATACGGTAACCGTTTTCCGAAATATTTCTGATCTATTCACATTAAATCAGTTCTTTGGCTAGAAATTCTGTAAAATTCATATAATCGAAGACTGGTACGTGATTTAAATATCGATGATGCATCACGTGCCGTCTTCGTCAGGTAGCCCGAGAATTGCATCGATCAAATATGTATTCGATACATCAGATCATAATCTCAGAACACGATTATCCACGTAGTAACTGACGTTACTCTTCTGTTTTATACTTTCTTTTTATCAATTTTGCATGTTAATTTGCTCACTAAAATATATTTTTTAGATGATCATTATTTAATCGACTGATAAAATTGATAGGAAATGGGAGTGCTCTAAAACATTTCTCATTTTCTATTCACATACTGGAACATATTTCTAGATTCTAGAGAATTAATTCAACAGCATTTTTTGTTATAGAGTACTAAGTTTTTGACTCTATTAATAAATCACTTCAATTCTACAAAATCTAATTTTAATCAGCTCACAAAAAGTATTGACGAAATGCTAAATATTTTCCAAATGTAACAAATACTTTTTAATTTACATGTTCTACGGTTATCTATTTCCCATCAATCTAACAATACTTAGTAAATTGTTAAACAATTATCTCGTTCTAATGTTTTGTTTTACTCATACATTAATGACTCGATAAATTTAAAGGAATTCATTTTGGTAGATAAACTGACATGAGAACTGAACCCTGCAATAGCTTCTAAAATGATTGGTGAATCAAATTTATGTCAGAAGAAAATAATACAATTGTTTATTAAAACGTCAGAAGTTAAATGAGCAGAGCGCCGTAGGCAATGTTAAAAATTAACGAGGAAAACATAAATAAAAAATGAAATAATCAAGTCTTATGGCTTCATAATAGAAATAGTTTGTAGCCTTTTAGGATCCTATTGAAAATATATAAAAATATTTTATAAAATGGCTTTGTCAATCAATTGGTTAATTAATGTAAACGGTTTCATTAAATATTTTTATTTCCGTCATAAAACGTGCGCAATCTTCAAAGAAATCTGGCAACTTCCAGACAAGGTTGATTAACTGTGAATTGCTCTTTAAATTAGTTACACTTTTACTTCAACGAACAACGCTAGAAGCCATTATTATTTCCTGAAGTACGTTTAACGAACCAATTACAGGAAAATTGTATTTGTAGGAGTATATAGGGTTCCTTCTATTAAAAAACATCATTAAAAACAATCAGGTTTATGTACACTTGTGTGTATATTAAAAGGTTTATATTCCATAATACAGGGCTTTTACTACTAATTATTGATTACGATTATCTTCCTTGTATCCACAGTAACTTATCTGTACAAGAAGTAACATCAAAAAGTACATAAATAAAACTATTTTTGATTTGAATTTATTCTTTGTTTTTAGATTCAATTTAAATGTGTGAGACGTAAATAATTCAGAATTTTCAATGAAGCAAAAGGTAACTTGCTTAATTATCTCGAATTTATATTCTAGCTTCTACAAATTTTAAACTGTCTTTATTAAATAATTCAGACTTAATCACTCGGAACAAAAATTCTTCTGAGTCACACTTGTGATTCATATTTTATGCAATATATTATTAAACGTATTTTAGTTTCGACAACTTTAAGTTTTCTTAGATTATACTTTAACATAAATACAACATATCGTGTTTCCCCACCTTGCTTTGATCGAATTCAATTAAAATCATTGATTTCAGATTGCTTATTTGTAAGAAATTGGGAACATTAATTTCTAATAAATTATACAATAGCATCAAAATCGAATTGCGTATTTGGATATATCAGGAAAATGACTTAAAATTAGAGATCATGGAAATGTAGACAGCAGTTCATAGAACACACGAAAATCGTTGGTATTCAGCATAATAGGACAAACATATACATATAGCAAAATAAAATTAAGAAACAAGACAGCATATCTGTTACTCGTATTTATACAGTATGAATGAATTTCGATTTCACACATTTTCTTTTTTTTTGCAAGTGACAAGAAAATGCTACCCTTAGCAGAAAATATTTAATCAAGCCAGTTGACACATTCACTGTAAGAATTGTTTATATACAAGATATAAATGTAAAATACTGTTATGTATATATTAAACAAATTGAGTAGATGTGGTGATTTTACCGAAGAAAATGTTAACAATGTAAGAAATGTTTCTGTGTTCCTCGAATATACAGTACTATAACGTTGTGTGTGGAATTTGAAAGTTCGTGAAAAACTGTGTAAATAAGGTCAGAAGATGTTAAAGCATTTTTAACTTCTTGAACAAAAGGATTCATAATGAACATTTTAAGAAGCTTTCTTCAATGTCTGACGATGACCGAATACTTTCCATTCACTGTTTAATTTCCTCATTCTGTATTTTCTAAATGAACAAAGATATGCAGTGTTATATCCATACTTTACTAAAATAGAGAAGACACATCCTCTTTTTTCACTGTTAGTGAAAAATGTTTCACCGAAATTACACGAATGATTTTTACAACAGACATTTGATTACATACTTTCTGCCAAGGGTACTACATTACACAGTCTCTGATTAATTACTTTCTTTCTTAATTTACAGTGACACACATTCGTTCACAGACTTCTGATATAGCAATTAACTTTCAAACTTTTCTGTAATTTCTATTTATACATTCTCCTTTTGTTACCTTTATCATCCTTTTGTGATGAATTTTTTTAATTTTAAAATAAAATCCACATTTTGGTAAATAATTTGATCAAAAAGTATGTGATATCCTTTCATGAACAAAAGTTGTGAGTCACGATATGTCGGTACGTGTATGCAACTAAAAAAAAAGTTACAACGAAATTTTAAACAGGTTTAGTATCGCATCAGCAGCTTAAATTGCTTGTTAGCGACAACCTGGGACTGTTGTGTAATTTACATTATTCTGTCAATTTGCTTCGTCTCTTTGAGAAATGATAGCATCTTAGGAGTCTTGTATATTGAAAAGTCAAATAATGTCGAACATATAACATGGTATATTAATTGCTTACCTTCCACCTCATTGCGCATTTTTTGGAGAACTCCCGGAAAACGATCTTCTCCTCGGGATGCTTCTTTTTGTGTTCCTGGCGACACGTCTGGACGAAGAACGCGTACGCGGTCATCCGTCCCCTTGGCTTCGAGTCCTTTCCCCTCGGCATATTGTCTCGCTGTTGTAAGCCCTGAGCGTTATTCTGCTGAAGATTATTCTGTTGCTGCGTTAGCTGCTGTAGCTGATGCTGTAATCGAAGAAACAGATTGTTAACAATTTTGCGAACCAATTGTGCCTGCAAGGCACATCCCTGAATGAACTGTTATTACTACATACATGAGTGCTTATATTAGTGAATAATATACGGCGTCATTTCGTTACTGAAACGTCCACAACGATAAAAATAAATAATTATATATGAATTTCTGCAATTATCGACGCTAGAATTTTTTATCGCACGGTTATCGTTTGGTCCTATCGATCTCTAGGATTACGTCCAGATTCGTGCTTCGAAAAATATCGTATGTTGCTATGTTATTACTAAATAATCACACAATACGCATAATTGTTTTAGTGTTTAAAAGTATTTTAATAGAATAAAATATGTGCTGCATGTATCCTCGGCAACGATCACCTTGAGGACCCTCGTGTTCTCTAAAAGGATTTTTTAGTTTTGGAGTGATCCGCGCTCAAAGGTTTAATAGTTTTCTTCCAGCGAAATTTTAACTGACATATTCCATATTATAAAAAAAACAGTATTTTTTAGATCTGAGTTTTTCAAATGCAGTTAATATCGTTTCTTGAATAGGGGACGCTTCATTCCTCACAAAGAACACCAGATGCCGGAAAAGGTGATAGCCTGTTGGGGAAACATCTGGTGAATATGGTACGCATAACTTAACTCAGCTCACTTTACTATGGCCGACTGTAAATTTATATGAAAGAAGTATTCACAATTCTTTCTTTGTCTCATGTCGTTTACTTATGTAGAATAAGTAAAAAAATCATCAACAAAACACAAATAATGAAAGAAAAATGGAGAAACACAAGAGTGTTATAATTTCTAACAAGCAATCTAAGTTAGAGATTTGAGACTTTTGGTTCATGATACAAGTCATCACTGTTGAAGCTTGAAGGTATAACCGTGTCCCTTTTGGAAAAATTATACCAACGTTACGCAAACATTGCAGCTAGCCCTGCAATGACTGATCAATGGACTGTAAATGTTTATGCAAATATTGATTTGTAAGCTAAATTACAGAAAACAAGTATAAATTTGTTGAGTCTGTGAAGCGTTCTGTTATGTTCCAAATAAATAAACCCTATTACACTTTATTATACATTTTACAATACGACATATATGCGTAGATATCTGCAGTTCAGTCATGATAAAGCTAGCTGCAATATTTGCAAAACTTTGATATTTAAAATATATAAATTCAAAGTTAAAACTCAACAGTGATATGATAAACGTGAGTCGTATTAATATTTATAATTAATCGCGACTAATTGTCAAATATTCGAATATCAGCACATTTCATGTCCTCAACAACCGCTTCCTGTTTGTTCTCGATTAAAAAAATGTAGTGACTTCTTAGGGACCTTTTGAAGTGGTCTATAATAATCGACACGCTTTTTAGGTACAAGATACCGAATGTGGTTTTCACTACTAGAAAGTCTTCGACTGCATACAGTACTTCAATTAGTGGATTTAGTTTGGTTATCGCTATAATGTCCTCTGCTCATACAGTCCGCAAATAGGGTACCCAAGTCCAATCATAAGGTACCAAAGAAGGGTCAGTCTCCGCAAATAATTCTCATTTCGCAATAGAAAGGAACAAACATCAATTATTAAATTCAAAATTGCCCGTACTAAGTTTACACATGATTAAACAGCGGATGTTTGTGTAAATTCCCAACTGTGGCTGGAACTCCAGACAGTAATTTGTAAAAACGAAAATTAGAATTTTCTTTTCTACACTAGGCGTTTTATTAGCAAGAGGACCGAACAATGTACTGCACATAAATTTTGATGAAATGTCATTGCACAAGTACTAAACAACTAGATCCTAAGTAGTCCTCTCGAGCCGTAGGTGTACACACTCAATAATTTATAAGATATTTAACAATAGAGATCTGATGGATTATTTCCCTTTGTACCACTGGATCTAGAATCTAGTTATCCACTATCTTTCTACAATGTTTCATTAAAATTGGTGCGTAACACATAGTGCGGTCGCTTGTGAGTTAATACTAACACATGAGTACATACAGAACTGTATTAAAATATTTAGTTCATTGCGATCTGCAAGTCAGAAGTTGCTACAAATGCAGTTTTACTCATTATCATTCAACAACCAAACGTGATCCACCATCACTGAAAGCATCTGCCATGGCGTGTTACAATGTTCTTGTGTAAATCACTAAACATGGTGTTCTTATAATAAGGAGCCAAACTTTACGAATGCAATCTACGTATTGCAATAATAAAAAAACGTCATACAAACATATGTCCGCAAGTGCTTTAATTCCAAGGTACAGCGTTTCAAAGTGTCTCATTAGAGGAAGTATTCAAAATGACATCACTAAGCAAGAATGCACGTTTCATAGCGCTACTTCATGGATTGCTAAAGACGTATGAGGGTCTCTTTATTATTTCGAATGATCTGACAAGTTTCTAAACTCTCTTCTAAACTCTCCATAAATCTTCAATAAACAAATTGCTTAAGATATCCACAAACAATGTAACATACAAATTTCCTCCTACAAAAAATTTTGGAACGCTATATGTTGAAACGAAAGTATTTGCGCTTGTATATTTATATAATGGTTTTTTATCACTGTGATGGATAGAATGTACAAATAAAGTTTGCAATCCTGTATAATTTGTTCACATTGTTTAACACTAAAGCACATGTACGAGAGTTCTTTGTATTCCTAAGTGTACGTTTTCTACTAATTTTCTTTTTTTGTTTTATTTCCATATAAAAGATCAAATTTCATTGATTTCAATACTTTAACACAGAGAGAATATTCATAGAAAATACAAAACGTTTTGCTGAAAATTAAGACGTAAAAATGAAAAGAAGACTGAAAAGAAATATATCAAATCGAAGAAAATAATTTCAAATAATACGACACACATAAATAATTATAAAATAGTATTTTACTGTTTCATTAATCGTCAAACTAGTCTCATAATTCGAATTACTATAAAGTACTGTAAAAAATGTTGTATTGATTATTAATACAATAAAATAAATCGATACATTTTTCTGTTAGTTTGAAAGCCAGAAAATTTTGTTTAAAAAAACATGAAATTATTAAAATTGGAAATGCACTTGTAACAAGTTTTTGCAGATATCATGGAAGAATAGAACTTGCATCATGCAAACTTTTCATTCACCATTTCTCCTCTGCTATTTGCTTAGAATAGAGCTAGAGCATTATTTCTTATATTGTACCCTACTCTGTGATTTCGATGAGCATCCAAGAAGAGATCAAAGGATTCTCCGTACTTGTGTCTTAAGCTGAGCCATACAAATTAGAGAGTCAACACTACACAACTACTAAAACCGTCGAAATAACGGATTTCCGATTGTTACTTCAGATTATAGATTATTTAGACGTATTACATTGATTGTAGACTTTATATTATACTACATTAAATTGTATTACATATTGTATATATTCCTATATTCCACAATTAAATATCGTGTACCTGCAGTGTCGCCAGTTCTAGTGTTCAATGTTCCACTATACAAGAATAATAGAAAGATAAGGCACCCAATAATGAAAATAAAATTTTGTGTTCTTTTAATAAATGTTTCCATAAGAATTTCGAATACTAGTAGTTCACTGATAAGCTAGAGAAACAGTTCTTAACGGTTTTCCAAAATTCAAAGTGATTGAAGGAAAACAATTAGTAGAGGAGCAGTATGGGAATCACGAGAACACTATGGGAGTTTTTACTGTATATCTCTGGCGTTACATTCAAAAGTGCTATATGTATTTTCAACGAATGAATTCCATTTCTAAAAAAAATTCCAATTTTACATGCGACGCATTGCGTACAATATTGAAGTTATATTATCGGATGACACAATTGCGTGCGAATAGTTTAAATAAATTTGTACTAGATGTCTATGAAAAAAAAACGTCTAAACTAGACATACTGATCGTCCGTATATACCTATACTTGCAGTTTATGAACTTGTCCACCCAAGTTATCCATCTACAATTTTTAGTCAAATGTAGTACATCTAATATTCACGACGAAATATGTCAAGTCATCACACTGATTTGTGTTAAGTTTAGCTCTAAATACAATAAATTAGTAAAGCAAATTTTTCTGAATTTTATTCACTTCTAAAGTATGAATTCTACCTTTCGTTTTTAAATGGTAAAATTTACTAATTATTATGTTCCTCTGTAGTTCGTCAAAAAAAATATATAACATTTATTCATGAAATTATAAAAATGTTGTCTGCTTTTTAACGAGCTCTTTTAATTGCTATTTCCAGATTTTTTTTAAATATCTTCGTTAGAGAAATTTAATTTACTTTGCAGTAAAATGTTCGATACATTTTCCATTCTTTTCGACACGTGTTCTAGTATCTTTTTTAAAAAAAACTATAGTACCTGCTATTCAAATACCCTAGATCAATTGCTTAATTATCGATATTTTTCAGGCACCCAGCCAAATAATACATAAATTGCGGATTATATATTGTTATACCTCGCATACAACTTAATAAGCCACAATAAAATAAGAACGTCAATGATTAATAAAAGCCAATGGAATAGACGCGTCTGTTTTCACCACAACTAATAGCCATTTAAAGGATAGCAACTTCACCTAAAGCTACACAATTTACAATGTTTTCTGTGTATGGATTTAAACAAAATGTAAATTTTCCTAGAAGAAGGGTTTCATATTTGTGAAGCTAAAAGAATTCGGTAACATTAATGGTAACAAAGATAGATGAAGTACAAGTACCTGAAAAGGATACATACTAAACGTTAGGAAAGTGCCAAGCTTCAGCCTTAGGCCTCCTGTGCATACTGTACAAATTTAATGGATTGAAATCTGAAGCAAAAATGCTCCAGTTATCGGAAATAATTATTTCTCGATCGATGTTCATTATAAACTTTTTGTATATTTCGATGGGTGGAACTGTTCGTATTGTCAGTGTATACTAATAAAGTCTATGAACTTTTTAGCTCAGAACGATCTACCAGATATAT